GATGCGGATTTGCCCATTCTTCTTTCGCATAGGTACGATACTCGAAATCCATGTAAGATATTTAACTTCACGAATAAATCCGATCTCAATAAGTTTATTGACTTCAATTTCGATCAACAGAATCAAATCGTGTCTAAATCGCCGTTGTGCTTGTTTCACAGGTCGAGCTCCCTTTTTAATAGTCAAATGGTGGATGACCACTTTTGGATCTAAATCTGGCATTTCTTTATAAGTCCATGCAAAAACATCTTGATACTCCCGCAAGAGTTCAATGTATGTCTTCTCTTCATCAGGACTCAATAAAGCACTTATGTATATTGGACGCGGGTCCTCTGAAGTACCAAGATTGATTTCCTTTATATCATCCACGGTGGTCTTAACACCTTCTTCCAATTCAGGTGGAGCATCTTCAGCATATTCTTCTTCTTCAGGAGAGTCACCGTCAATTAGGGTTATATGATTGCATGAAACAACATTCTTTTCATCATTCTCTTTTGGTCTGTGTGTACACCACGGTATATTCCCTGACTCTCAACTCAGTCGTACATTTTATTACAAGGTCTGTGTATCTTCTCATTCTCGAAGGAATGATGCTACCAAATTTATGAGAACAATCAGAAGGTTCTTCAAAATTTTGCAATGACTTTGCCATTTTTTCTTTACTCTTATGAGAGTTTTGAGGCTTTTGTTTTTTTTGTGGTTCTAATATCTTAAAAACAGATACCCGTGAAACTTTATTCTCCTTTTCATGAAAAGATTAAAATTTATCGACAATTTGAGAAGACTCATCCTCTACAGCAATATATTGACTACTAACTCTATTGATCTTGATGCGGATTGGTGTAGGAGAGAAATAGCCAAGGCCAAATTTGGGATTTTAAATGGCGTATCCTTTTTCCTTCAACATCTTTTGGGTAGAATTCAACCCATGAATCATGTCACTAGTAGATTGACAGGATAGAACATTTAACACCGCAGATTTTTTGACATCGTATCCAGCTTTAGCGAGAAACTTATAAGCGATAGGATCAAAACCTTCTTTGGTTCTTGACTTTGGTATGGTGTCTTGTTCGACTTCAGATTCTTTGCTTAAAAGGTTAGACCTTTTAAGTTGAGGAGATGACGCCTTCTTTGTATCGAGATGAGCTACCGGAAGAGTCAAATTTTTTAGAGTTTCATGTTGAATTGCGGGTAACTGCCTCTGTTCCATTCTTGACTTGGGAGGGTAGCGAAAGACAACTGATTTATTATTTGGCAATGAAACATCAGTTTCTTCATGAACATTCTCTTTTGATTTCGAAATCATCACTCTCTCCCCTTTTGTACTTGAAGATTTGGGATTCTGGATTTTTTCCACAGATAGAGGTTGCTCAGACATATCCTTGGCATTGTGTCTTTTGATGTAAAATTTGGCATCAACGATATACGCTTTCGCCTCAGTGAAAGGATTATCATCGGCTTTCACACTTCTTGCTACCCTATTTTTGATAGTACTTGAAACATTGATGAAGAGTTGATGGTACAACTCCATTTTCATGAATCCAAGGCCTTCCCAATAGCACATTGTACGTGGTTTTTGTATCTATCACGTACAACAGTGCTCTGGACGACATGTCATCAATAACCATCTCCAAACTTAGTGATCCAAGAGCTCTCTGCCCTTCTTGATTGAAACCTTGAATCATCAGTCGGCTATTGGAGAGTTCATCAACAGGGATGCCAAGTTCCTTTAGAGTTTTTAAAGGAAGAATATTGACTGCGGAACCTCCATCTATTAAAATTCTATTCACTTGTTGCTCCTTTGCATAATCAGTCACAAACAAAGGGCGGTTATGCGGTGTTGATCCAAGTAACAAGTCTTCATTAGTAAAAGTAATACTTGCGACATTCACCTGTTCATTGCCGGTAGGCACACGACCTTCTTCATTGCTGGTAGGCACACAGACTATCTCACAGAGAGATTCGTGAGTATTATCTTTTTATTCTTCGATATAATCTATGCGTGTTGCGTAACTTGTGACCGCATCAACCTCAAAGAATTTTTTAGGCATGAATTCCTTTAAAGTGACAGGAGTTCGCGACTTTTGCTTGAAGACTCGACCTCCTTGAAGATTAGGACAGTCATTATTTTTCTTTACGTCCTTCCCTTTCCCCTTCCAGATCACCATATTTCTTGTTAAGGTCATGTTGGCCTTACTAGATGGACGGGAATGTCGCCTCCTTCTTCGCGCGACTAAAGTCCACCCTTCATCATCCATATCGGGTTGTAATGCCTTCTCATCTTCAGATGTATGTTTTTGAAGAGTTGAAGGAGCACCTTCTTGTTCAATTTTCATGGGATCCAATGAACCAAATTGAATTATTGGTAATATCGATACCATGACCGTTTTAATCTCCATGGACTGCATGGAATCTATGAATGTTTGATTCACACTTGCCTTGTCTTCTTCAAGAAGAATTTTTCCTTGTCTCGCCAACTCCATTACTTTGTCTTTGAAGACAATGCATTCTTGGATGGGATGCCCAACCAAGCGGTGATACTTACAATAATTTGGATCATCAGTGTTCCAGGATTCGTCAGGTCGTTTTATCTCAGGAAGCATGATCAAATTTATATTTAACAGATCGTTAAACATACCAGGGACATCACAATCAAGGAAATGATACTCCTTATCTTGTATCTCCTTGAGAGTCGGTTTCCTCTTTCCTTGTTCTTGATGTGTATTGATCTTCCTGTTTTCTCTCCTGACAGTTTTGGGAATGGCCTTAAAAGGTGTTATACTTGTAGCCATAACCTCCTTCTTTTCATTTTTGATTGGTGGCTTGCCCCTTTTCCTCGCTTTTTGTCTCTCTTTAGCCTTGTGAGGGTCAAAAATTGGCGGTTCTTGTCCAACAAGATTAATTTCCAACTTGTGAGTTTTTGTGGACAATTCATCAAGCGTTTCTGATTGTACGCCTTGCAAGATGTATCTGAGTCCTCAGTGCATACCTTGAATACACATCTCGATCGCGGAAGATCCAGAAATTTCATCTTTGCAATTCAAGCTCAAATTCCTCCAACGGTCGATAAAATCAATGATAGGTTTATTCTTCTATTGCCGTATATTAGAGAGTTCAGTCATACTGATAGTTCTCTTTGTGCTATAAAAACGACTAAGAAATTCATGTTCTAACTGCTCCCAACTGTCAATGGTTCCAGACTCCAGATCTGTATACCAATCAAAGGCATTACCCTTCAAAGAGCGAACAAATTGTTTAACGAGCAAGTCACCATCAGTGCCCGTATTATTGCAGGTTTCCACGAAGTGTGCAATATATTGCTTAGGGTTACCCTTGCTATCAAATTGTTGAAATTTTGGAGGTTGATATCCTACAGGCATCTTCAAACCTTCCACTCTAGCGGTGTAAAGTTTAGTGTAACCACTATATGACTTGGCGCTTCTACCAATCTTATCCTTGATTGTGCCTTCGATAAACTCTTTCAAATTATCAACATGAATGGTGCCATCAGGGGAGATTGAAAATTTCTTTGTGGCTTGTGATTTCGCATCCTCTTTATCCTTCTCTCTTGATGATGAGTCACCTTCATCTTGCACTTTGGATTTCTATTTGGACATACTAAGGTTATTTTCGCCTATATTTTTCACCATAGCCATTAATTTGACTATCTTGGCATCTTGACTTTGCGCATGCACTACTAGCCCTTCAACAATTTTGGTTAGATTCGAAATCTGGTCTTCCACAGTTGTGGTATTGGTCATCATGACGGGTATCACCATAGAGGCAGCCGAATCACTTGGGCTATCAATGGATTCATCATGGACTCCTTTCTTGTTGGGAAGCATCTTGAGGTTTGTTTCTTCGGTCACAACGTTCGTCTTAGCCCTTTCTGCTAACTTTTTGACCTTGCTTCTTCTCAGAGGTGCAATATACTGCGTTTCTTGAATTGTTGAGACATCGGCAACTAAGCTTTCAAGAAAAAAGTTCAACTTCTTGAATTCCATTGAATTTTGAGACTGGTAAGTTGTTGGAAGAAAAGAGATGAGAGGCAGAGATGGTCCCACCGGGCGTGCCAGAAATTTGTATGCACAAATTTTGTTGCCTAAAATAAAAACAAGGAAACTTGCACAAATATCAAATTTATTAAATTAAATAATAAGCGGGTTACAATCTCTGAAAATTCTCGAACCAAAGAATTTAATCCCTGATTCTTTTCTTCGAATGAGTTCAATCGAAGGGTTCAAAGGACTTATTCTCCGATCGAAAGAGTGTTTCCTACAATTTTGACGTAGAAAACAATTGATTTGATGTTGACGTCGAATACTTGGAACTCTTAAGTCTTCAACACCAATAGCAGGAGAATTTATTTGGCTTGATTTGGACTTGTATTTGAGAAAGAGGGCTCTTGAGAGGATTTGACAGAGTCTCTCCGAAAGTTAGGAATTTTTTTATCTTTTTGTCTTGAGGGAAGACCTTTATTTATAACCAGAATATGTAGGTTAGGTTTTCAAGAAAACGCTCAGAATCTTCCTTCATTTTTGGATCACTTGTCACTTAAGAAATCCATTTAACTTGGGTTTAGATAATGGGCCAACCCAAATAGTCCATTGTGAATTAATAAATCAATTAATTCACTCCAACTTAAGCGGATATTATGAATTTAATTTGATTTAATAGCCCATATAACATTGGCCCAATTTGTCGGTCCAAAACATGATGGACTTCTATAATTTATTTTAATTTAATCAAAATCAATTTAATTTAAATAAATCTTGACTAAATAAATTAAATAAAATTTCTTTGCGTACAACTAGATTCCACCTATATATGTGGATGTGGTCCCATACGCGTAAATGGTGATAGAATCGTAGAAATTGAGGCAAACAAGCAGATATCACTAGTACTAGGCAAGAGTTGACTCCAAAGTCTTTCGTCCTATTGTTCTATGCATATAACATGTAAACAGGACTAAACCAACCATCTATTGCAATGGCATCCCTATGCATACAACTCATCTTCTTCTTGTTTCTCTTCCAATATCTGCTTTATCTCGAAAAAATGGTATTGTGCCTTTGGGCAGTACTTTGACTGCAGGTGAAACATCTGCTAGTCCTTGGCTTTCACCTTCTGGCGATTTTGCATTCGGGTTCCAGGAAGTACAGCATAAGGATCTGTTCTTGCTTTCCATATGGTATCACAAGATACCAGACAATACTGTAGTTTGGTTTGTTTATTCAACAAATCCAGTGCCACGAGGATCGACTGTAAAGCTTGATCCTCAAACAGGGCTTGTGCACTGTGACCCTCGAGGCTTACAACTTTGGAGTGCTAATGTTGATTCTGCTCAAATTGATCATGGTTTTATGAATGATACCGGCAATTTTATCCTTAAGGGGAATGATGATAGCTGGCTCTGGAAAGCTTCAAACATCCTGCTGATACGATACTGCCAAATCAAGAATTGAAAATTGGTGATTTTCTTTTCTTCTCGAAAGTCAGCAACAAGCTTTTCTAGAGGAAGATTTTATCTCCGTTTTCGTGATGACGGGAATCTAGTGCTTGTTACCAAGAGTGTGTCAACCAATGTGGATGACGATGCTGAGTACTACAATAGTAAGACTTCTGACTCTAGAGATCCACTGTATTCTGGTAGCCGAGTTACTTTTGATGGCAGAGGCGCCATGTACATAATGAAAAAGGACAATCAAACAGAGCAGCTGAGTCCATTTTCAATACCACCAGCATCAGAAAACTATCATCGGGCAACAATAGATTTTGATGGGGTCTTCACACATTATTATCATCCTAGAACTCTTACTGGAAATCCGAACTGGAAGGCTCTTGGTATTTGCCGCAGAATATATGTATCAGCCTTCGAGCAAATCACAGGGGCAGTGGAGCTTGTGGATTTAACAACATTTGCAACCTCAAAAATGGAAAACCAGTTTGTGAGTGTCCAAAAAGGTATGTATTGCTTGATCCAGATGACACGTACGGCAGCTGCATACCAAACTCAACTCTTAGTTGTGCTGAAGTAGATGGGGGCTCTGCAGAAAACCTTTATGATTTTGAGGTTGTCTCTGACATAGATTGGCCACTGTCTGACTTTGAGCAAATACATCCTTCAAATGAAAGAGTCTGTGTGCAAAAATGCTTGCATGATTGTTTCTGCGCTGTTGCCATTTACAGAGAAAACAATTGCTGGAAGAAGGGGCCGCCACTATCAAATGGGAAGGCAGATAAGACTATTCACTCCAAAGCTTTCATCAAAACCGCAAGAGTGATGAATCAAAGCCAAAGGACCGAGGCACCTTTATACGTGTGGAACCTGTCCTTCTGGGCACCTCTTTCTTAGTAAACTTGATATTCATTACGACTGCTTGTTTGGGCTTTTACCTCATGTACCGGAAAAAGGATAATATCATTTGAATACTGATGTTGGGGGATATAAATTAGCATATTTTTCCATACAAAGAGCTTGCAGAAGCTACCATTGGATAGGGAGTCATTTGGCATTGTGTGTATAAAAGATGAGTTACAAAATTAGTTCCGAAAGCAGCATTGTTGAAGCCAGAAATTAGAATGGCTTAAGATGCTGAGAAGGAATTTCGTGCTGAAGTGACAATGGGTCAGACTAACCACGAAAATTTGGTCCCATTGCTTGGATTCTGTGATGAAGGACAACATCGGCTATCGGTGTACGAGCATATGAGCCATGGCATGGCGCTCTTGCAAGATTGCTATTGTGAAATCCCGAATCTTTTGGTCCTTCCCTTACTAAAACTATTTAATTGGCTAATTGTATATTATTAATTATTTTCCTACTGGTTTAAATACTTCATTGACCTAAAACTATTTAATTGACTAATGTTATTGATTATTTTACTAGTAGCTTAGATACTTCATTTATCTCTTTTGGATTTTATATTAAACTAGGCATTGGTCTCCATGGCGTCGCGAGGAGCCCATATTGTATGTTTTTTTGTGTGTTTTTGGGGTATGATAGGTTTCTTTATTATTATTATTATTATCATTAGTAGTATAAGTGGGAAGTCTTGGATTTAAAATCTCCTACTTACCATTTCTCTTATCTGATCATCCAACCCAACCCTGCTCTCTTTGTTTATTAATTATATGTACATGTATTTTATAATGGCTATCCGTGTACGAGCATATGAGCCATGGCATGGCGCTCTTGCAAGATTGCTATTGTGAAATCCCGAATCTTTTGGTCCTTCCCTTACTAAAACTATTTAATTGGCTAATTGTATATTATTAATTATTTTCCTACTAGTTTAAATACTTCATTGACCTAAAACTATTTAATTGACTAATGTTATTGATTATTTTACTAGTAGCTTAGATACTTCATTTATCTCTTTTGGGATTTTATATTAAACTAGGCATTGGTCCCCATGGCGTCACGAGGAGCCCATATTGTATGTTTTTGGGGTATGATAGGTTTCTTTATTATTATTATTATTATCATTAGTAGTATAAGTGGGAAGTCTTGGATTTAAAATCTCCTACTTACCATTTCTCTTATCTGATCATCCAACTCAACCCTGATCTTTTTGTTTATTAATTATATGTACATGTATTTTATAATGGCTATCCGTGTACGAGCATATGAGCCATGGCATGGCGCTTTTGCAAGATTGCTATTGTGAAATCCCGAATCTTTTGGTCCTTCCCTTACTAAAACTATTTAATTGGCTAATTGTATATTATTAATTATTTTCCTACTAGTTTAAATACTTCATTGACCTAAAACTATTTAATTGACTAATGTTATTGATTATTTTACTAGTAGCTTAGATACTTCATTTATCTCTTTTGGGATTTTATATTAAACTAGGCATTGGTCCCCATGGCGTCGCGAGGAGCCCATATTGTATGTTTTTTTTGTGTGTTTTTGGGGTATGATAGGTTTCTTTATTATTATTATTATTATCATTATTAGTATAAGTGGGAGGTCATGGATTTAAAAGCTCCTACTTACCATTTCTCTTATCTGATCATCCAACCCAACCCTGCTTTCTTTGTTTATTAATTATATGTACATGTATTTTATAATGGAATATGTGTAAAGATTTGTAATATAATTTATATAATGTAGTATGAATTTGTCATATTTTGTATTATTTTGAATGATTATGATTATGTTATGTTTATCTATTGGTAGAGTGGTTAATTGTTTTGCATTGTTTTGGTATTTTTATTGTTTACAGTATATTTATGATTTGTCCAATTTTGATTTGATTATTGGTTCTAATTATTTTATGCTAGTGAAAGTTGTGAAAGTGGATTAATTGAAGGATTTCTTAGCGTGTATGATAGTATAGTGGAAGTCATTTGAGGGAATTGCCTGATTTAGTGGGAAGCTTCTGGTGTTGGAACTTAGAACGTTGCCTTTTGAGGAAGTGGAGATAGTGTAGGAAGAATTGATCGAGCAACAATCGGAGGAAAACGAGTCTTTCATCTTCACACCTTGAACAAGTAAGCCATTATTTTTAATTTATTTATTTACAAATCAAGTTGTAGGTTTTGATGTTTCATGGATTTGTGTAGGAATTTACAGTTGAACTTAATGATGATCACGTCTGAGTATTTACAGTCAATTAGGTTAAAACTCAACCCATAGTTTCTTTCATGAATCATAGTAATGGCCTACCATTGAAGTGATCTTCACGGTTTTTCATTTGCTAGTGGGCTTCTGAAAGTTGTATTTTTCAAATTGTTAAACAAATCTTAGGAAAAGTTCCTACTGTGAATCGGATGAATCAAAGCCACAACCAAAGCTCTGCACATCCTTGGACTATACAATTGAAGAATCTTTGTTAATTTAGATACGAATAGTGGAGCCATTGAATCAAGAGATTTCATTGGGAAATTGGGCTTTTGAAACGAATAGAAAAATCGATGAAAGGGTGAAAGTCGCAGGCTGCAACTCGGTGCCGTCTATGGCACGTCTGGATGGAATCCTACTGGCCTGTGGGAGCTCAGGATGATTGAGTGTGGTGGTGGAGGCCCAGAAGCGGCGGTGTGATGAGGGAGTGAGCCCAAAGGAAGAAGACGGCTGATCTCTTGGTTTTAATCTTCAAGGATGTTGTAAAAGTTTTAGAGTTGGACTGGTTTTTGAACTAAATAGGCCTTTTGCTTAAATGAAACGCAAATTGTTGTAAATTTGACCAATTGAAGAGGTATAAAGCCTAATTATACACAATAATATGAAGAAATGCCTACATCAATTATTGCAAGCTGTTTTTATGAAATGGACAGTTTTTGTGAGGTCTAATCCTTAAGAAATGACCCAAAGTTAATTAAGCATACCCAAGCGTTTGTTTTAAAAGCCCAATTTTATTATAATGATGCGGATTTAGCTAACTGATTCCGATGGCTTCAATGACTTTTTTAAGAACCTAACCTTGGTAGATTGTAAACACTAACATGAAGTTAAACAAGACCTTTTCATGGTGTGCTTCGCTGTTGAGTCAAATCCAAACTCAAATCCAGCACGAAACAAGTGTGGGCCTGTTTATACCAAATTAGAAACTTTCTTTATAGATAATTGAACTAAGACAGTTTATCAAATGGAAAAGTCTTCCCAAAATGGGAAACCCTTCAACAGGGTAACTTTCTATTTTTGGAAACTTTTCAAGTACTTTTTATAGAAGAACCGACATGATTGCTAGGGCTATTTAAGATAGGAATAAGTACTTTAAAGATAAGATGGATGAACTAATTGAAAGATATTATGTTATTGCTTATAGGGTTGGAGGTACTTTAAATTTAAGGATCTCTTGAAGCAAACAGTTTGAGGTAGGTGTTTCTTTTCCCTCTATGTTTTTCAAATACTAAAATATGAATTTCTCTCAAATGAAATCTTATGTTAATATGTGAAAATGGATAATGTATTCCTACTTGCCTACATTTCTTATGTTACAAAATATGAATGACTCGCATGCTTTACCAAATGTAAAGAGTGGGCACGTGATGTGTGAAATGAGTTTATGTTATAAAAGGCTCTAAAATGTCATGAAATGAATGGTAAGGGCTATAATTCTTTCATGTTATGACGATCAAGTAAAGATCAGGAAAAATGCTTGATCGTTTATGACCCATGATTGGGTAGATCAATTGAAGACGAAGGAAAATGCTTGACCTACCACTCTTCTAGAAGGGGTTAATTTCTAAGTTAGTGCTCAGAAGCCAATGTGTGTACTTGTTTATGAGTTGTTTCGTGAAAGGAAAAGAATTGCAGGTTTATGAATTTCAAGTTTGACTATGTTTGTGCCATATACTATATTGTTTATATTGCCACTCACAAGTTCTATATGTAAAGCAACATATGCTTTTGTTTTCAAAATAATTATGCATGTAATATGCTGTTAACAATCTTACGAAGTATATTGTATATATATTAGCTACATGATCTAGTAGGCAATTAATTGCTACCTATTGAGCGCACATCGTTCAACCCATATTTTTTTCAGATCGAGAAAGGAAGATTAATTGCGATTAGAAGATAAGAGAGAGGTAAATAGATAGATGACCAAATTATAGATCAAGGTGTTTAGTAGATGTAGTAAATTAAGACTATTATTTCTTTAGTAATTATAAAGTTTAAATTTGAGTAAATTTTTGGAAGTTATGATCAAGATATCTAATATTTGTGAGAGTAAGGCCTTGTGGATACAGCATGCCAACTTACAAATATGGTCTATGGACCAGAATTTGGAGGATGATAGCTATTATGTGATACCCAAGTTTTCTATTTGTGGTCTCAAGTTAAAAATTAAGAAGTTTGGAGTAAAATTGAGAAGTTTAGGGAAGTTGTGGTGTTGGAGGATAGTCAAATAAAATTTTGGAAGAATTGGCAAATGAATTTTTAAGATGTTTGTCTAAAACTTTATTGTAACTTACTCTAGAAGTTGTAGAAAAAATTTTTAAAATGTAAAACTTTTTTTTTCTTTTCTTTCTTTCTTTTTCCTTTTCTTTCCTCTCCTCTTCTTCTCCCTCACCTCACCACTCACTACCCACCGGTGCCGAAACCTCCGCCGGCAGCAGAAATTTTTTTTTTTTTTGCTTTTTTCTCTCTTTTTCTCTTCTCCCTCTCCCTCCCCTCCCCTCCCCTCCCCTCCCCTTTCCCCTCTCCTCTCATCCTTCCTCCCTCCCTCGTCACCTCCCCTTTGGCGTTCTGGTCACGTGATCGGGGGAGGAGGGAGGGGGGAAAGAAAAGTGGTGGGGAAAGGGGAGGGGAGGGGAAAGGAAGAGGGAGGAAAAAAAGGAAAAAGGAAAACCTCTACCAGCGCAGGAAGAGCTGCTGGCTGATGGTGGCCGACGGCGGAGGTG